TGCCCAGGCTGCAGTGCAGTGGTGCAATCCCGGCTCACTGCAACCTCTACCTCCCAAGTTCAAGCGATTCTTCTGCCTCAGCCTCCCAAGTAGCTGGGACTACAGGCACATGACACCACGCCTGGCTAATTTTTTGTATTTTAGTAGATATGGGGTTTCATGATGTTGGCCAGGCTGGTCTCGAACTCCTGAGCTCAGGTGATCTGCCTGCCTCAGCCTCCCAAAGTGCTGGGATTACAGGCGTGAGCCACCACGCCCGGCCCCTGGAAGCTAAACTCGAGCACCTGCTTCCCTCAACCACAGTTGCTCCGGATGCTCACCCAGTCCAGAGAGAACAGTCCCCGCTCCCATCCTCCCCCATCTGGGACCATCCTCAGGGGTCCCCCCACCCTCTTCCCCTAAATGCCCAAAGCCCTGGGGGAAAGGGGGAAAGAATTGAGGATGAGGGTGGAGGTGCAGGGAGGAGGGAGAGGGAAGGGGATGGGTTAAGAAGGAGTGTGTGATGTCAAGCAAAAAAGACAACATTAGACACAGATGCTGAGATGGCGTTTATCGCGGCAAAAAAAGGTGAAGTCGCCGAGGGGGAAGGGGTGGGGAAAGGGGGTGTGGTGGGGGCTGGGGTGGGGGCCATGGAAGCTAATACATGGTGCACTAGGTCACACAACGGACACTGGGGGTGGGTGAGTGGGTGGGGTGGGCGTGGCCCAGGCATGGCAATGGGGGGACGGGGAGGAGACGGCAGTGGGCCCCAGCCAGGAGCTTCTGGAGGTGGTGGGGAGGAGGCGGGCGGCGTCTCTGGTCGCAGAGGATGGAAGGAATCAGTTAGAGGGGGTTGAATGGAGGCACTGGAGGCATGGCCACATTCCACGAAATGGAATGAGGGAGTGGGACAGCAGGCAGGGCGCCAGCCTGGGGCCTGGGCCTTTTCATCTAAGGACTGGGGAGAACCAAGGACCCTTAGAGGTCCTCCAGTCCTTCCCGTGTTCCGAGAGAGAGAACAAATCTGGAGAGCAGGCTAGCTTAAGGTCCTAAGAAGAATTTAGTAATCGGTTCTCCCAAGATGGCCCTACAGCCTTCCCCGCCCTCGATTTCTTCTCCTTCTCCTACCCTGTTACCAACAGAGAAAGAGGGAAGAGACGTTCTAGCTCCTCTGACTCCCCCATGATCTCATTGAGGCTCCTCAGGGAAACTGGAGGATGAATCCGTTTCATAGAAGGGGAAAACGGAAGCATCCTGTCAGACTACACCTTTCCATACCTCTCCCACCTCCCTGCCGGGGAATCTATGCATCCCATCCCTCTAGAGTAATACTGATAGCTTGAAATCCTTATCGATGGGGACAGGTGAGAGGATACACCTTGAGATTCTCCCAAATTGACCCGGGATGTGGGCCGTGCCTCCAGTGGCCTGAGATGCCAACGTAAAGAAAAAAAAAATGACTCCCCACATCCCCTGGCTCAAACCCAGTACAAAAGTGACTATTTACAATGAAGGCGTGGGGAGCATGTAGGGGGCACAGGAAGGAGGGGGTCAGAGTGAGCACTCCATTTGAGGGAGGCCACACCTCTGGACCCGCCTTTTAAAGGGACAAAGCCAAACAGCATAGATACTTATAGAGGATCTCAAGCCCCAGGGTGGGGCGGACCCTAAGGGTGAGGGATGGGAGTGGGGCATGGGATGGGGTGCAGGTGGGGAGGCATGGGCGGTGGGAGGAGATGGAGGAAAGGCAGCAACTGCCCCTAGCCTCCCCCTTCCCCGCTGCCGGACACACAGTTTTCCGTGGGATGAACACAGAAAGGGTTAATCAAAAAGAGTTCGATGAGCGAGTCTGACGGTCGAGTGGGGCGGGCTGGAGCAATGAGGCCGCAGGTCCCGGTGGCCGGTGGTGATGGAGTCACTTAGAAGATGAGAGGTTGGTGGTTTTGGGGGGAGAGGTGGGATAGGGAAAGGGGTGGGGGGTTAGGCAGTCCCCCCCAGTTATCTCTGGGAGACAAGAGTGTCCTGGACTGGCTGAGAAGGGATTAAAAACCAGCTGCCTTCACCACCATAACCCAACAGATTATTTTCCCATTTCCCTCCCTGCCACCCAGCAATCTCCAATGCGACTTGCAGGGGACACTAAAACCGACCATACACACCAGCAGCAGTGTCAGGAGAGAAGCCCCTCCAACCACGGCGTGCAGACAGCTGACCGCAGTGCAAAGGGATCACGATAGCAAGGCTGGGTGTTGTCACCCCCATAGACCAGTGCCCCTGGCCCGCCTGTGCCCCAACTTGGGTATCGCGATCCCATTCCCCTCATCGTGACATCCAGTTCAGGCTTTCACGACAGCCAGCCCGGGTTCAGGTGCCAGGCAAAGGCCTGCCTGGCTGTCCTGACAGGGTACACTCAGTCAGCAGCCTGGACGCCCCAACTGCCATCCTCATCGCCACTCTTGTTGATACTTTTGCCACTGCACAGTTTATCACAGCCTCTAATCCTGGTCTTAAAACAGCAATCATCCACTCAGGGGGACTCCTCTCATTTTCCAGACAATTGGCCACCAAACAAAACAAAGGAAGAAGGAGGATGTGGGAAAGGAGGAGAAACAGAATGAGGGGATACTGAGGGGTTTGGTGGTCCAGAGGGGAGAGGAAATATCACTAGGAGGTAAGCGGTACCCTGCTGTTCCAAGTAGAGGTCCCCAGCCATCTACAAGTGGGCTTGTATCAAGATCCACTTGGGATACCCATAATTCCCACCTACAAGTCCAGTGCAGGTGTTAGGGCAGATAAAGATGGCAAAAATCATTGCCTTCTGATCACCACGCCTACTAATTATTGCAGTGAAGCCTCCTTGCCCATGTAGGGATGGCTGGGACAGGGCAGAAGAAGGTGGCCAGGCAGGTTGGCTCAGAGCCCCCTGAGATGGGGGATAAAGGAGGTTAATTTGGCACATTGAACCCCCTCTTCTCATAGGTGCTTTGAGGTCTTTCTCTTGAATCCAGTTGGTACCGCCCCCTGGGCTGGCAGAGGAGGAGTTGAGCTTGTCTCCTCCTCCCCAGTTTCCACAGATTTGCCAGGAAGTTGGCAAGTGGGATTCTCCTTGGCTGGTGGAATTTGGGGGGATCCAAAAGGATAAGGGTAAGCTGAAAAGGAGAGCTTTTTTCTGTCTTTTTTTTTTTTCTTACAAAGATTCTAAGAAAAACTCAGGGTGGGAGGGCTGTGGAAGGGGACCCAATTTAGCTCCATGTCCACACTTTTTCAATGCCTCTTAGGGACCTCCTCAAAGAGAAATGGTCCCATTTCCTCCCCTCTATCCAAGGTCCTCTCCCCCCAGAGCGGCTCAGTTCCAAGGAAGTTTGGCACTTTTTTTTTCTTTTAAATGGGGAAATTGGGGAGAGAGAGTTGAGACAGTTGAGGAGAGGAGGAAGACAGACAGAGACAAAGATAGAGACAGGACAGAAAACAATGGGAACCACATAGAGAAAAAAGATTTTCAGAAAGTCATAGGGAGCCAGACAGAGGGAGGAAAACACTTGGGGAAGGTATGGGAAGCTAAAGGGCAAATGAGAAGGAATCGGGAGACAATTCAATGCAGCAAACACTTATTAAGCACCTACTGGGTGCTGAAGAGCAGGGTGCAAGGAGGCCACTCAGGGACTCTGAAATCTGATTGGCTAATAGGGAGAGAGGAAAAAAAAAAAGAGGTGATGGGTTTGTCAATGATCCCCATCCCTGGCCCCACATCTGTGCCCCCTCTGGACAAACTGCAGCACAAAAGATTGAGGTCAGATTGCAGAAGGGACTTTCAAGGGATGGCAAAGATGGTGGAGTGAAGATAAAATAGGGAAAGGTGTGTGGCTCTCCACTCACCAACATGGTGAGCGAACTAGCTCACTGAGCTAGCAAACTATACCTTTCAGATAGCCCTGGCTGGCTGGGTAGGGGGTCCCCAAGAAATATGAACAGGGAGGGGTTGTTACACAGACACCCCAAGCAAACACTTTCCAGGAGGCCCAGCCTCCAGATACGTGTCTGTGTGAGAGGAGTCCTGGACCCGGCTGATTGGGACCCAGACTCCAGCGAATGGGTTTGTAGAAAGCGGCTGCCAAGCAGAGGATGCAAATGATATGCAAATGAGCTCATTCAGATCCCACCTCCCCACTCCCAGACCTTACTTCACCTCTCCCTGGCTCCTTTCCCTCCTCATAGGGGTCTGGGGGGCTATAGGGGGATACTCTAGCTAGATGCTGTAATATTCGCGTGCGGGTAGAGATACTGTGAAATACTGTAAGGTCTTTTGAGAGGTGGAGGGGAGCAACGGCCCATAGAGCCACCCCCACCTCTAACCCCAAGAGCTCCCAACGGTAGTAGAAGATATGTACAAAGTTACATCAAGAATTGTTTTGGCACTCAGATCTCCATCTGGGTTCAGTCTGGAGATTAGGGGTGGGGCGACAATGATGGGAAGTGGGGGATAAGGGAGGAGGAAGTGGGGCCTGCCCCCCACCCTAGAGATGACAGGGCATGGAAAAAATCACCCCAGTGCCCAAGCTACAGCCCCCATCAGGTGGAAGGGCCGGGGTGGGAAATTCAGTGCAAGGTACCTTAAAGGCTATTGCTTTCTAGGGATTTTCACATTTTGATTTGGGGGTGGCTCTCTAGCAAGGGGGAGGGATCTCCTAGGCTTTAGGGGCAGGAATTGTCTCTGTGGCTTTTCTTCCCTCCTTTTTTAGGAGAGAGACGAGGAGGCTGGATTTCCCCCAAAGCCATGGAGAAGAGAAGGGTCTGGAAGACCTAGGAGGGGGACAAATGGGGGAGAGGGTGGGCATGGGGTGCCCCTCCCCCAGAGATGCTGATGATGGAACCAGGGCACCGGGTGCCCTGCTTTGGGTTGGAGAAAGTGGAGGTGGTCTCCCAAGAGGAGGGGGAGATGGGTGGGGTAGAGGGAGGTCTCAGCTATCCTAGTCTACAGGGTTGTCAGGCCCTGAAATCTCAGTCTGCCAATAGGTCCTTAGAGCTGACCACAGCCACAGCACTCAGGGAGCCACTCTCAAACGAACTCTCAAGGCCTCCTGGCTTGTCAGACTCCATCAGAACATTCTACTTCTCCAGAGCCCCTGGTGAGCACACCAAAACCTTCTGATCCATCAGACATCACCAAAGTATGCCAGCTTGCTGGAAGCTACTAAATCAACCTAATGTATCAGACCACACAAAGCATTCCGGCCCAAGGGACCCTACCACGGCTCACTGAACTCTATACCGGGCCACACTGGCCTGACAGAGCCACCATACATTTGGCTCACCCGATTCAATGAAACAAAGCCACGCAGACACAGGCATGCACACAAAAGGCGGGGGTGGGAAGGGGGCGCTTTAACAGTAGTTTGCACTAGGTCCATCTCCCATCCCTCCCTCCAGGGTGAGTTCACAGACTTGGCATGTTTGAATGGAGATGACCCTGACAATATTGGGTTTTTTTCCTTAGAGTCCTCCAGATTGGATCCAAGTCCCATGCTTTATTCTCTTCCAAGGAAGAACCCCCCAGGCCAACACCCACCAAAGAGGGGTGTGGAGGGAGAAGGCAGGTCAGAGACTGGTCACTGTCCAATACAGGAAGTACATGCTTCAGCCTAATGACATCACAGGAAGTAACCTCTAGGCACCACCCAAAGTACATCTTCCCATGATATCACCGAAGTGACCTTCAAGGAAGAGCTCATTGAGACATCACAGGAAGTACCTGCCCTCTTATGCTCACAGGAAGTAATCTCTGAGGAACTGCTTCCTGTGACATCATAAGGAGCACCCAGAAGCACCCCAGAAAGTACTCAGTGACATCACAACAGAGACCCTCATTGCCATTACTCTAGGAAAAGCCATCAGAGATGCCACAACAAGTTCATCCAGCCTCTCATGAGTCTTGCCCACAGGACAGGCCCAATCCCAGAGCTGGCATCCTTCCCAGCAGCACCGTCTCTGCCCCCCATACAACCTGACAACAAAAGAGTGAACATTCCCACCTAGGAGGGACAACTCCAGTGGGAGGAGAGTAGCTGAGAAGATCTGGGAACTCTGGGGTCCCTGTTCCAGATGCCCCATTTCACCTCAGACGCCTCTGCTACCTCTACTCCCATGGCTTCCCTCAGATCTAGAACTGAAAGCAGAGAGGTGGGGTGTTGTGTTTTGGGGAGGCCCCTCATTCTGGATGACCCGGAGGCTCCCTCCCCTCCTCCCATGTGGAAGCAAAAACTTATAAGGGGGGAAAAATCCTTATCAAAAAAAGAAAAAAAAAGGAGGGAAAGAAAGAGAAAATAACGCTTTGTTTTCTATTAAAATCAACAAAATGCAATATATACAGATATCACACAGACCTGGGCCCTGGGACGGGAAGGGTCAGGCCCAGCCAAGCACAGGGAGGGAGGAAGGAGGGGTCAGTTCCGGGCTGGGGAGGGGGCTTCTGAGCCCCCTTCCCAACCGTCACTCAATCCTGCCTATGACTACCAGAAGGGGAGGGTGCAGTCGGGCCTACCCCAGCCCCATCCCAAAAGGAGCAGGACTACACCAAGCTGAGGTCAGGAGTTGGGGGGAAGGAGGAGAGGGAGGAGAAGGGGGAGGTGGGAGGAGGGAGAAGGGTGGGAGCACACACCACAGGCCTCATCCCACTTTCTGGGGGTTTGAGGCCCTCACTCCCTGCTCGTAGGTGACCCGCTGACTGATGAGGTATTGAGCGGCTTGCGTGGCCGCGGGGCTGCCCGTGATGGTGACCCGCCGGTTCCGCGTGCCTGGCAGGAACTCGCCCTTCTTGGAGATCTGGATGCGGGCGCCCGTCAGCTCCTGGTACTCCACCAACGTCTTGCCCCCCTTCCCCAGGATGGCTCCCACCAGGTTCTCAGGCACCGCAATCTCCACCAGCTCCTTGGCACTCTCAGCCGCCAGCTTCTCCGCCGTCAGGAAGCCCCCGGCCGCCCCAGCCGCGGCGGCAGCGGCCACCAGCGGGCCGCCCCCTCCGCCCGCCCCTCCGCCCGCCCCGGCCCCGAGGTAGCCATTGGCGGCCGCGGCCAACGCAAAGGATCCCAGGGCTCCGGGAGGTGGGGGCGGCGGCGGGGCGGCTCCTCCGGCCGGCCCGGCCCCGGCCTCGCCCGCGTAGGATGCCAGGAGGTTGGCGGCGGCGGCGGCCGCGGGGTTGGCCCCAGCGGCCACAGCGGCCAGGACGCCGGAGGCCGCGGCAGAGTTGAGGCCCAGGCCCAGGGAGTTGGTGTTGTAGCCGTAACTGGCCAGCGTGTTAAGCGCCGTGCTGATGGCCAGCAGGTCGGTGCCCGAGAAGGCGGGCAGCGCGGCGGGAAAGGCCCCCACGCCCGCCAGCCCGGCGGGGCCCAGCAGGCCGGAGGCGGCGGCGGCCGAGGCTGCGGCTGCGGCGGGCAGCACATCCGCGGGGCTGGCATACGGAGAGCCGGTGGGATTGGAGTTGGCCACCGGGCCAGCCACGTTGGCGTAGCTGATGTTGAGGCAGCTGCTGCTCTGGGGGTCTTCTTGTACCTTCTGCACGATGGCGCTCACGGCCTTGTGCACCTGCTCGGGCTCGCCGCTGACTGTCACCACGCGCTCCTGCAGGTTGATGCCCTCTGGCTTCTGGGACAACTGCACCCACGCCCCTGACTGTTCCATCACGGCTTTCACCGTGGCGCCCCCCTTGCCGATGATCAGGCCCGCCGTGCTGTTAGGGACGATCAGCTTGGCCTGCGTGGGGAGCAAAAAGGAGGGTCTTTAATTTTATTTTTTTAAAAATTAAATCAGGCCGGGCAAGGTGGCTCTCGCCTGTAATCCCAGCACTTTGGGAGGCTGAGGCGAGGAGATTACTTGAGGTCAGGAGTTCCAGGCTAGACGGCCAACATGGTGAAACTCCTCTGCTAAACATCCAAAAATTAGCCAGCCCGGTATGTCGGCACATGCCTGTAATCCCAGCTACTCAGGAGGCTGAGGCAGGAGAATCACTTGAACCCAGGAAGCAGAGGATCCAGTGAGCTGAGAACGTGCCATTGTACTCCAGCCTGGGTGACAGAGGGAGACTCTGTCTCAAAATACAATAAAATAAAATAAAAATATATATTTTAAGTAGAAACAGGGCCTGGCTATGTTGCCTAGTCTTGTCTTGAACTCCTGGCCTCAAGTTCTCCTGCCTTAGCCTCCTAAAGTGTTGGGATTACAGATCTGAGCCACCAAGCTGGTGAAGGGAGGGTCTTTACGGTGGCTACAGACTGAGAGGTCATTTCCCACCCCTCCTCTCCAGCATCCAAAATCAGGCTCAGCATGGCCCTTTGATAGGCACCAGTATGGTCCAACTGGTTGTTTAAAATACTAAAATATTTCAGGTCAGATGCCATGGCTTATGCCTATAATTCCAGCAATTTGACAGGCTGAGATGGGAGGATTGCTTGAGCCCAGCAGTTTGAGACCAGGCTGGGCAACATAGTGAGATCTTGCCTCTAACATTAAATGTTTTTAAAAATTTGACATATATCCACAATGGTTGGTAAATGAATAGCCAGTATTCGAGGTCCCCTCAGTAGCCCCTCAACCATCCTGTCCCATGTACCCGGGACTCTTAGCACCTCCCCTGAGTTCAGCATCTAAAGGCCTAATGGCCCATCCAGTGGGGCCCCCCAGGATCCCACTCCAAGCTTGCACCATGGCCCACCCATGCCTTCTAGTATTAAGTACTCTGACTTCCAGCCCCGGAAAAGCCTTTGTTAAATATCATTAATTTACAGATGAGCCTCTTGAGGCCTCAGAGGTGAAAGGACTTGCCCCAAGGTTCCCCAGTTAGTGATGGAGCTAAAATCTAGGTTCTTGGGTTCCAGATCCCTTGTGCTCCCCTAAACATGGTCTTCTCGTTTAACTCTGTGTTTTGGGCTGAAATTGTGTCCCCTCCAAATTCACATGTGGAAGCCCTAACTCTCAGTACTTTAGAACGTGACTGTATTTGGAGATAGGATTTTTAAAGAGGTAATTAAGGTAACATGGGGTCATTAGGGTAGGCCCTAATTTACTGACAGGTGTCCATATAAGCAGAGGAGATTAGGACACAGAGGCACACAGAGAGAACACTATGTGAAAACACACGGAGAAGAAGGCCAAGGGGAGAAACCTCGGAAGAAACCAACCATTTAGAAACCAAGGAGAGAGGTCTCGGAAGAAACCAACCCTGCTAACACCTTGGTCTTGGACTTCTGGCCTCCAGAATCATGAGATAATAAATACGTGTTGTTTAGACCACCCAGTCTCTGGCGCTTTGTTACGGCAGCCCTAGCAAACTAATCTAGTTGTCTAGATCTAATCTGTAGAATGAAATTTACTAATCTGTAAAATGAAGATAACATGAGGCTTGTGTCTGAGAAGGCAGACATAGGTGGATGTCTTGGATGTCAAACACTGGATCAGGAATCCAAGTAGATTTTCAGTCTCCTTCTAACTCCAGGGAGGAGAACTCTCCAGGATGAAGAAGTTGCTCATTTGAATATGGTGATTTCCCTCTTCTCAGTTGAGAGCAGCCCATCCTTCGACCACCCGTCTGCCCCAAGCATCCGCAAGTCGGATCAATCTTATTTCCAGTGGGGACATTTCAAAACCAGCCATCTCCTTTTGCACCTTCAAGAGCATTTCTACACATAAATTCTTCCCTCTCAAAAATCATTCCTGTGTCCCCTTAAACCCTGGGGGTGTTTAAGAAATTCATGGGGGTGGTGGTTTTTTGTTGTTGAAGGGCTGGGGGGCAGATGGGGAATATCAGTGGGCAGGACCACAGGTGTCTGTACCCCACAGTTGAGAGCCAGTCCCTCACAAAGAAGAGTGGTCCCGGGCCGTACTTGATAACTTTTGTTTGTTTGTTGGGATTACAGATCTGAGCCAGGCTGGAGGGCAGTAGCTCGATCTCAGCTCACTGCAATCTCTACCTCCCGGGTTCAAGTAATTCTCCCAACTTATCCTCCCTAGTAGCTGGGATTACAAGTGCCCACCACCACGGCTGGCTAACTTTTTTGTCTTTTTAGTAGAGGTTTCACCCTGTTGGCCAAGCTTGTCTTGAACTTCTGGCCTCAAGTCATCCAGCCACCTCGGCCTCCCAAAATGTTTGGATTACAGGCGTGAGCCACTGTGCCCAGCTGCTATATGAATGTCCTGCTGGACAGTCATGCTGATGAAGAGCCTGCTTTTAAATCTCTGAGCCCTCGTCTGGGCATGGTGGCTCATGCCTATAATCCCAGCACCTTGGGAGGCCAAGGTGGGAGGATCACATGAGCCCAAGAGTTGGAGAGCAGCCTGGGCAGCATGGCACGACCCCATGTCTACGAAAAAAAAAAAAAAAAGCATTAGCTGGTGTGGTGGCACATGCCTGTAGTCCCAGCTGCTCAGGAGGCTGAGATGGGAGGATCACTTGAGCCTGGGAGGTGGAGGCTGTAGTGAGCTGTGATTGTACCACTGCACTTCAATTTGGGCAACACAATGAGACCCTGTCTCAAAGAAAAAAAAATATGAAAAAAA